CTCTTCCGCGGTCAATTCAAATCAAAAGAAAATAGAGAATAACTAAATCTTGTATCTTATCCCAATCCTACATATATATATATTTTTTAAATTAACCATTCTGTTAACGTTATAGTGGATATGGGTCGATAACGTGCCGGTGCACGAGATCCAACTTTTCAATATGGTGAGGATTCGGATTCCTTACGTACAGGTGTGTACAAATATTTTTTCATAGATTTTAAATTTAAAAAAACTTTTTTTAAATTTCTTTTTTAAATTAAAAAAAAAAAATTTTTTTTCAGCCCAATTTTATATATATGGATGAGATCCAAATACGTGGCTTTTATTAATATACAGCACCAGCGTTGGGTACGCTGGGTTAGAAGAATCAATTACTCTCTCGTGGTGAATCACCTTGGCGTGGTAAGAGGGCTCCCCGTTCGGATCCAACGGACTACGTCCGGCGACTTCTGCTCTGCAGAAGTCGCTGCGGTGGCCCGTTGGTGAGGTGCGGGGTCTAAGAGTCCACCCTTCCTGCCGCCGGTCTACGGACCGAAGTGACGGGAAGAATGGGAGCCCGGCGACTCTCTTAGGGACTGGCCTTCGGGTCGGTCCCAATCGCCGGTAAGGGTTGGCAGCCCTAACTGCAATCGCCCGGTCGGCCGGGACCGATAGGGAGGAGTTTTTACTTCTCCCGCCGGCCTAGAGAAAGGACATCTCGATAAAAAACCGTGGGGTGGGTCCGAACCGCTAGACCATTGCACGCCGGTACTCCGGCAGGGCAGGGGGGTATGCCTTTGGGGATCTGGGGCTTGGGGGAGGGTGTCTCCTCGTTCCCGAGGCGGGCAGGGATGCCGTCTCGCCGAGGGAACGGGAAGGGCCACCCCAATGCTTCCCTGATGCCGGTGCTCCGGTGGGAAGCGGGGTGGTCAACCCTCTTTCGGGCTGGCCCGGTACGTGGTGCCGGGCCAACCGGAGAAGAGGCCCGCGTCGACGACTTGCACACCAGGGTTGTGGACCCACGGTGCCATCGGCGCGGAGGGTCGTTTCGGGCCGCTCGGACGTATTCCGAGGTCGGGGCCGGCGGGTCTAGCCGCAGAACGCAAGGGCCGGCGGCGACTACATATAGCTCGTCAGTCAGTGATCGCCAATACTGGGGGAGTCCCTGTGCTCCGCCCTTTCGCGGGCGGCGGCGGGCCGGGATCGAGTCTCTTCTCGGCCGATTGGGGGGGCCGGGATCGAGTCCGCTCGGCCGGCTTCTTCTCCCGTGCGTCGCGCGCGGGAGATGTACAGTAGGGGCTTTTCCTACCCTAAGCTGACCGATCGAGCAGGCAGGGTCGTCGGCGCGGAGGTCACCTCGGCCGACGACTCGTGACTTTAGGCTGGTCGCCACGGTGGGCAAGGCCATGGGTGGGTTGCGACACCCTTGGCCCAACCATCCGTGGGGCCCCCCGCTTGGCAGCTCTTGTTGCGGTCTCCCGGGTGTCGGAGCCCGGGGACCCCTGAAAGCCCACGGTGCGTCGGCTCCTTGATGGGCCTCGTCCGCGGGTGTGTAGGGGGCCGGAGGCCAGTGCCCCTGATGGTAATTCCGGGGGCCCGTGCCATAGCCACCTCCCCTGAGGAAACTCGGGGGCGCCGGTCGGATAGTTTTCCGGTCGGACGGTGTGGGCATGCCCTGGGTGGCGGAGCCGTAGCGGGGAGTAGGATTAATACGAAAATGAGTTGTAACAATTTAAATCCCACCAGGACGAGCTTAGGGAGCAACGGCAACAACCGGGGGTTGGAGGACTCCCGGAGGGGTTGCGACGACAAGGGGAACCCGTCAGCGCCATTGAGTGCGGGGAAAGAAAAGACGCCGAGCGCCAAGAAGGGATCCGCGAAGAAACCCGCGGGCCCTAAGAGCGTAAGGCGGCTGCCGCCGCTGCTGCCGCTAAGCTTTCCCAGAACACCCCGGGAACGAGCGCGCTCACACCGAGCGGGAAAGAGGGAGACGGATTTGCCGTCCCCGCTCCCAATAAGAAAGGAGCAAAGAAGACCGAGAGCGGGACCCTACGAGAGTCAAACAGGACACTGGAAAGGACCAATCTGGCCCTACAGGACTCAGAGATGGGGTAATTTGATGCCACTGTTGACAAAGTGGATTCCCTCGACGACGATGACGTAGTCGCGGTGTCGGACACATCAACCCACCCCGTGCTTAGGTCTAGAAGCAGGTCGGTCACAACAGGAGAATACGAGGTGAAGAAGGCCGTTCGAGCTAGAAGGGAAAGAGAAAATGAGGAGAAAAGGATCAGGGAGCTGACAGACCCAATGGTACCGGCTGAGCTCACAAAGAGCAGAAAGATTAGGGAAATAAAAATGATGGAGGAGTTGAAGTGGTCTCCGATTGCGGATCTCTCTAGTCGAATAGTCGAGGCCGTACGAGGGGTAGACAAGGTTTGCACTAAGTTTGCCAAACTAAAGGGTCCTGATCAGAGGGTGCTCAACGAGTCCGCCGCGACCATCACGGCGGCCTTGTCGCATCTGATCAACTGAATGGGCCAAAATGACCAAGTGGCCGAGACATAGAGATGGAGGAACTACGCAACGAAGTGGCGGCCCTCCGCGAAGACAATGCCAAGCTCAGGGAAATGGTGAAAAGAGTGATGCCTCCCGGAAAAGCTAAGGCAATGGACGTGGAGGAATCCAAAAATATCCCAATTCCAGATTCACCGGTGCGCGGATACAGGACGAGGAAGGGCACAAGAAACGTGATCCTGGAATCGGAGTTATCGGACGATGACAAAAGGGAAAGGGAGAGACAGGAGAGAAAGGCGGCAGAGGAGAAGAGGATCCGCATGCTCTCTGACATGGAGGCAGAAGGTATGCCAGAAGTGATTAGGCCGAAGCTGGGCGGCAAATCAGCGCTGCTCGAAGCGGCTATTCCGCCTAAATCCCAAACGCCCGAACAACCGGTGCCCGTGGAACGGGATAGGGAATGGGCTATGAAGGAGAGGATAATGAATGCCCTCACAAAGGGCATGGAAGGGCTGTTTACTAAATGGACGGCTAGCGTGGGAATAAGTATGAACGCGGCACCCAGTAAACAGAACGCTGAGCCAGTCCCAGCTGGAAACAAGGTAGTGCCAGCGATCAAGAAGGCCCCTCCAAATAAGGGAGCGGGTACGAGGGGCAATACCAAAGACCCTACGACGAATGACAAGGGCAAAGGCAAGAGCAGTAAGCCCAAATTCACATTTGCCGAAGCCGTGAAGAGCGCTACCACTAGCAGCGGAACCGGGGCCAAGAATAACGCGACATCTGGCCCGGGTAATAAGAAGACAGCTGGGAACAAAGCCCCAGCGACCACCGCTGAGCCCAAGAATGCGGCCAAAATCCGGGGCTCGTCGGCCTGGGCTATGGTCGCAAGGAGAAGGGGGAGACCTGTGATGGCGGCAGGCAGCAAGCGACTGGTCAAAAAGCGATTGGTCAGGGGAAAAACGGTGGAGTAATCTCCGTAAAAAAGGGAGCGCAGACACCAATCGCCAACAAGAATGGTCAAAACAAGGCCGATGGGAAGTCCGGGTCTGGAAGAAGGAAACTGCCGCAAAGCGCGGCAGTGACTCTGACCAGTCTGGACGGCGGATATGAGGAGCTAGTAAAAGAAACCCGCAGCAAGGTTAATCTTGCTGAATTGGGCATTACGACGGGCTTTAGGCCCAAGAGAGCCCAAACCGGGGCTCTCATTATCGAGATTCCCGGCAAGGACAGGGAGGCTACGCAGCGGATATACTGGCCGAGCAGCTAACTTAGCTATTCGAGGGACGCCCCGGGGTCAAGGTTACCCGACCCATAAAAACGGGGGAGATTAGAGTCCTCAATCTAGAGGACTCTGTGTCGGAGGAGGAGTTGGCGGCGGTCATCGCGGAAGCGGGTGGTTGTTCGCCAGTCCATGTACAAGTCGGCTCCATCAGGTCAGGGACAAATGGCCTAAACATCGCGTGGGCGAGATGCCCACTCGCAGCACTGAACGCCATTCGCGAGAAAGGCGGTAAGCTGCGGGTGGGATGGTTCGTCGCCCGAGTGCAGGAGCTCGGACAAAGGCTCCTCCAATGCTTCCGCTGCCTGGAGGGAGGCCACGTTCGGGCTCAATGCACAAACCCGATTGACCGCAGTGAGCGGTGCTACAGATGCGGCGCGCAGGGGCATTTAGCCCGAGAATGCCGCGAGGTTCCCCAGTGCCCAGTCTGCGCGGATCTCGGCAGACCAGCGGGACACCGGGCGGGCGGGAAATCGTGCACCTGCGCCAAAGCTAAGGCCAAGCCTCAAAGAGCGGCGGGTGCCACCATACCCAATTCCTCCACGAGCAGAGGAAAGGACAAAATGGAAGTGGAGGTGGACAAATCCTCGGAGAAGTTATACCAACTCCCGAGGATAACTGCTATGGAGAAGGTCAGCATGCAGGGGTTCGGCAAGCAGCCGGTAAAGAGGACAGCCTCGACTGCTAACGTATGTGGCGAGACGGAAAGCAACGAGAAACCGCTCGCCCAGAAAAGAAAAAAGAATAGAGGGCAGAAGAAGGGGGAGCAGATACAAGTCCACCCACTGCCGTCACACCGGTGCCTGCAGCAATGCTAAACGGAGAGGAGGTGAATGGGGAAACTGCGGCGTCGAATAAGATGACCCCACTTACGACGCCGGCCCCAATAGAAATACCAACTAAAGAAAGGCAAAATGAGACGGAGCATCAGAACGATACCACAACCGCTGAAGGTGAAAGGGACGGAGAGAAGGAGGAGGCCTTTGGGGAAGATTACTATTAATGCCCCCCCTCCACAAATTAATACACTCTAACCTGAACCATTACCGCGCTTCGCAGGACGTATTCTTACATACCATGGCGGAGCGCGGCTTTGGTTTGGGGGTGGCCGCGGAGCCATACTTTGTGCCGCCGAATCACCAACTGTGGGCGGGCAGCCGGTGTGGGAAAGTGGCCGTTACGTGGAGACCCACGGACACGGACCCGTTGGCTGTTCTCGCGTTGAGGCAGGTGACGGGTTTGTCATTAGTGAAATGGGACCGCATTCATGTAGGATGCAGGTATATAAGGGTGTCTTCCGCAGGGTGTATCGTATTCCTCTATTTTGTATTTTGTGTGCGGCACTCACACGGTGGTCTGTGCCAAAGGAGAAATGGGCCAAACCATTTTTAGCAAAAGCAGAATTTTTTAAGTGATCTCGGGGTAGGTTTTTGGTATATAAGGGTGTCTTCCGCAGGGTGTATTGTATTCCTCTATTTTGTATTTTGTGTGCGGCACTCAGGAGATCCTCTGTGCCAAAGAAGAAATGGGCCAAACCATTTTTAGCAAAGGCAAAATTTTTTAAGTGATCTCGGGGTAGGTTTTTGGTATATAAGGGTGTCTTTCGCAAGGTGTATCGTATTCCTCTATTTTGTATTTTGTGTGCGGCACTCAGAAGGTCCTCTGTGCCAAAGGAAAAATGGGCCAAATCATTTTTATATAATCGCTCCAAGAACGTTCCAAACTTCAATCAGCTGAATATTTGGAATATTTACGGAACATTTTGTTAATATTCTTAAACATTTATAGCATGTGATATGAATATTCTGAAAAACTTTTTTAAAATTGCTATAAATATTTCAATAATAATCTGTGAACATTACAATGAACATGAAATATTCAGAATATTAATAGAATAATTTTTACATATTAGTAGAATATTTTTAAAATAATCTATAAACATTTTAGGAAAAATATTAAAAACATTCTAATGATTCTAGGAATATTTAAAGAATATTTTAGAACATAATATTCTGGAAAGCATTACATATATATACATATATATATATATATATATATATATATATATATATATATATATATATTTGAGTTTACGTAAAAGCGTAAAACAATTTCGGAAAAATGGACCGTCAATTTTGGCTCAATGTTGATTTTTGTAAACGATTTGTATTCTCCTCCTTGATAAAAATTAAAGTTTAAAAATTTTTATCTTTTAATTGGTTTTATACCGTTATTTCTCCATTCTATACATGTAAGGAATATAATCAAATAACGGTTAATCCAACGTTATAGACGGATAAATAATATTTAATTTTTTCATGTATAACGTGTATGCGAATACGAAAAACATTTATTAATTTACTCGATGAAAATTTGTTTATACAAAACTGGACGCAAAATTGGATAATAAAATATGTATTATTTTTTCCATTTTCTATCCGTGTATCGTTATTTTGTAACAGGATTTTCTGCGCCCAACGTCTCGCAGTCTAAATTCTT